CTCATGCCTGTGGTACTGTTGACCATCGTCGACCTGACACTCTGTCACTTACAGGTTTCATGACTCTATTTTGTAAGAACACTCAAGTATAACAAAACAAAGATTTTTGATAAAGAGCTCCCGAAATGGGAGTACCCCTAAATATTTTAATCTCTCCCTTCTAAGGGAGATTTTTTACTCACAAGACATTGAACTGAAAATTTACAAGATAGAGAGTGTGTTTTGTTGCACTCGTTATTGCGGATCTTTTTCCAAAACATAACTCTCAATTTATAGATATATTGAGAGGGTCTGATCCTTGCCTATTATGTCAGGCATGACGTTTTTATCCACTAAAGATTACATTATTGTGGCAGCTGGAAAGCTTTTTATAATGGAGAAAAGCATTATTATTTTGAGTGGTGGGGCCATTTGACACGTGAAGCATCTTTCTTTAAGATGATGAGGATTTGTCATCTTCAGGGGGGGGTCCCTCCTTTGTCTCCGAATCTTTGCAATCGCAAAAGTGACAAGATGTTCTTCGAAAAGTTGTTCTGCATGTCGGCAGAAGTGTTGGCGTGTAGCATTGGATACTTCCATGCTATTGTTCATGAATTTTTCTCCAAACTTGGAGGCTTGACGAAGATCTTCTTGGCTGGTGTTGTTGTAACTCCAGCTTGTAATTATACAATGTGAATCGTATAATTAATCTTCTTTTTGAACCAGAGATAATTTCAATGATTTTTTTGATATTCTTCTTAAACATTGATGCGGTTAGGATGAAGAATTTCTGTGAAAGGTAGATCTTTATCTTCCCATTGGTTGAGATTGTTCAATCTCTCTATTGGCTTTAGAAAGACCCTCCAGAAAGTAGTATGGAGAAAGAGTTGATTCTTGAATCCATTCTGGGAGTGAAGAGATGCATCTGATGTAGATCGGATTATCTTTGCTTTAGTACTTTCTTTCGAAGTTTTAATGGATTCTACCATGCTGCTTGGGAAGAATTTGAGTCTTGAAGGTTGCAGCTTGGGTAGATATTGTCGATAGTCCAGCTTGAAGGCTTGGTAGACTAATTTGCATCTGCTCCTTCGAGAAAGTTGAACAGACTTTTTGTTTTCTTGTCCGTAGTGAAAAAACTTTTCAAACAGTCTTCTGGCATGCAGCCCTTGCTTTCTTCAGATTGTTCTGAAATCTTCAAAGAGATTTCAGGATAGTTAACCATTTGTTGAACTCAATTGGAACGTCAAACCTTTGGTCTCTGTGGGCTTCTTTGACTTTTTGAATTTTGGTCGAAGAAGTGGTTGGTTAGTCTTGCTTGTCGTCTGATAAGTGGCAAGGCTTAATCTTGCAGATGTTTCATTTCTGAATTTTTGCAAGTAACTTTATCAACTTTACAGAAGGTTCTGTAATTCCCCAGTCAGTATGAACACCGGCATGGGGTCCTTTATAGATTACATAAAAATCTTCAGCTTCTTTGTTAAGAGCTTTTTGTAATCTGGTGTGAACTCCTGCACAGATTTGTTAGTGGGTGACAAAGTGTCATTTTACTGATTCCTTCAGTACAAGGATGGGATCAACCAATAAGCTAGTTTTTCCATTAGGAAGAGGAGTAGCTGTCTCCTTTATTATGCTTTTTAGCAAAGCATCAGCTTTCAACGGATTTGTTGATTCTTTACCAGGTGCCGTTTGCACTGGAATAGCCTTTTTTTGAGCTTTCGCTTTCGTACATGGTGACCGTGTTTACTTGTTCATACAAGTTGATTTTTTCTGCTCAATTGCAGATAGCTCTATGAGGAGCATTTGTTTCTCATCTCAAAATGTTTGAGGTCTTCCATTTTGTAAACTCATTTTTTTGTTACTTTTCTCTCTAATTCCTCCTCTTTTTTAGGTGAAGTTTTTTGTGAGGAAATATGTCATGAGGATCATATCCTTTTATAGGGCTCGAGAGGAGCGAGTGAGATCATGGATGATGTAAGGCATACCTGAAGTCACGAGTGAGGCAGTCTGCCAGTACGTTTTTGTTTCCTGCGAGATGTTCAACAGCGAAAGTATATCGTGAGAACCACTCTTGCCATCGTATAGCCGGCCTAATTTGTTATCTCCTGCATCTTCGTTCGGAGGAAATAAGTAAAAATTTTTATTATCTGTACGAACCAGGAAATTTACTGGTGTTAAATATACAGAGAATTTTGTAATAAACTCTTTTTACAGCGAGTAATTCTTTTTCATTGCTATGGTAGTTTTTCAGCTGCTTTGAAACTGCCAGAGTTGTACCTGCAAATTTGTTCTTCGTTTTTGGGGTTTTTAGCTTTTAAAACACCTCCCCAAAATTCATCAGAAGCATCAGTTTCAATAATTAAACTGTCTTCAATGTTTGGAAGATAAAGTTTTGGAAAATTGATTAAAACTTTCTTTATCTTTTTGATGTAGTCTGTATCAGCATTTGACCAATTCCAGATGACATC